CGTGTGGGTCCACCTGGTGCGCGGGGGCACCCCCGCGTGCGTCCTGCTCAATCGGCCCGTCGGGCTCGTCGAGGCGGACGGCGCCGGCTGGGGCAGCCGCCTGCTCGTCTACCTGACGGCCCTCTGCAGCGACCGGGGGTTCCACCACGTCGCCGCCATATGGAGCGGCTGCGCCCGGCGGCTCTTCGTGGACCACAAGGAGATCGCGTGCGGCAGGTGCGGGCTGTCCGGCGTCAACGGGAGCGAGGACGAGCGAGGCGATTTCTATTGCGCCGGTTGCTGGAAGGGCTGGACCGCCTTCGAGGAAACACGTGTGGCCACAGAGGAGGAGCAGCTGGTGTTCTCGCTCCCTGGCGTGCACCAGCTGTCCGGCGACCGGGGCCTCGGCGACGCTGACATCTTGCCCTGCCTGCTGGGCGAACTTCCGACCCAGGGGTCGCCCTACACCGTCGAGGCATGGGTCAGGCCGGAGGAGGCGGCCCCCATCGGTGGCGTCATCGGGTGGGGCGAGTGGGGCGTGCTCAACCAGACGCAGAGCTTGCTGGTGCGTGGGACCGAAGAGTTCGAGGACACCTGGTGGGGCCCCCGGCTGTGCGCGGGCCTGCCAGCCCCGCTTGGCGGCGGCTTCCGCCACATCGCAGCCACCTGGGATGGCAGCGTTCGGAGGCTCTTCGCGAACTTCGAGGAGGTGGCGAGCGAGCCGGCGCAGGGCAACGAGGTGGCTGGTACTTGCACGCTGTGCGTCGGGGAGGCCGCCCGAGACGGGTCCGGCCTCAGCGTCGCCCCTCTGCGCGGTGCCATCGCCGACGTGCGCGTCTGGAGGGCAGCGCGCGGCGCGGAGCAGCTGCGCTCCCGAGGCGGCGGGGACGCCGCCGCCGGGGACGAGCCGACCTCGCGGCAGCGCCGTGCGCTCGCGGGCCCGCCGCTGCACCGCAGCGGCAGGCTGCACCGGAGGCGGTGCGGGATGTGTGGCCAGACCCTGGCGTTCTGCACCATGGAGGGCGGGGGCGGCGCCTTCTACTGTGCGTGCTGCTGGGGGGCCGCCGCCGAGCGCGCGCGTGCCGGGGCGATGCCGTCCCTGGTGGAGGTGGCCGCCGAGGGCGTCGGCATCTCCGCCGAGCGCCTGCGGCTCGTGCACGGCTGGCAGGAGGAGCTGGTGCGGAGCGGGCGCCTCCCCTGCGCGATGGTGCTGGTGAGTCGGCGCGGCAGCGTGTGCCACTGTACGCCCTCGGGGCTGCAGAGCGAGGGCGTACCTCTGCGGGAGGATTCCATCTTCCGCCTCTTCGGCATGAGCAAGCCCGTCGTGTCCGTCGCCCTCCTGCAGCTGGTGGAGCGGGGGCTCCTGTCGCTTTCGGATCCGGTCCGGCTGCACCTTGGGGAGGCTTGGAGCGCCAGCAACATGCGCGTGTTTGTCCCTGGCGACGACACGAGTGGAGGCCGCATGGAGCCGTGCCGCCATGACATCACCGTCGCCATGCTGCTCACGCACACAAGTGGGCTGAGCTACGGTTGGGACTCGAGCGGCTCCAGCGTGTGCGTGGACGGCCTGCTGGGCGCCAGGCGGCTGGCGGATCCCAAGGTGCGCTTCTTCATGACCCTGAGGCAGTTCGTGCAGCGCCTGCCTGTCGAGGTGCCCCTCGCGTTCCAGCCGGGCGACGGATGGCTGCACGGGTGGAACGCCGACGTCTGCGGAGCCTTGGTCGAGGCGATCAGCGGGCAGGACCTGGACACGTTCCTGGCCGAAAGTATATTCGGGCCCCTGGGCATGCTCGACACGGGCTTCTTCGTGCCGCGCGAGAAGGTCCACCGTTTCTGCGCCCTCCACGAGCGCGCGGGCTCCGTCCTGCGCAGCATCGGCGAAGGCGTGTTCGGGGCCTCCGGGCTGTACAAGAGGCGCGCGGGCGCATTCCTCGAGGGCGGCAGCGGCCTGGTGGGCACCGCGAGGGACTACCACCGCTTTCTGCGCGCCCTGCTGCGCGGGGGCGAGCTGGACGGGCACCGCGTCCTGAGCCGAGGGTCCGTGGAGCTGCTGACTTCGAACCAGCTCTTCTGCCCACGGACCCGTGCGCCGGCGATGCTGTCGGACCTCTCCAGCGGGCCTGGTTTTACCAGCAGGGTGCAGGCTGGAGCTGGTTTCGGGATGGGTCTTGCCGTGATCTCGCGCCCGCAGCCGGGTGCGTGGATCGGTTCCATGGGCACCTACGGGTGGGGCGGAAGGGCGTCTACCATGTTCTGGGTGGATCCGCGGGAAGAGCTGATCGTCATATTCATGTCGCAGTACTGCTTTCAGGACCCTGGTCCGTTGCCTCCCGCGGAGCCGCTGAGGGCGGCCCTTGGGCGTTTGGTCTACAGGGCGTTGTTGGCTAGTGTTGCGGGCGCGGACTCCGACGTGACCCTAAGATAGCTGTAACCGGGTGTCTGGTCGTAAGACGCTGTCAGGTCGCATGCGGTATCATCGGTCGCATGCGTACTTTTGCCCCCTTCAGACGTGGAGAGGAGGAAGGGGGTGGTCTCGCTTAGAGACTACCGTCAAGATAGAGCCCGCCGGTGCAGCTGTTTCCTGCTGCCGTTTTGGTGGGTGTTGCTAACCTTTCGAAGAAGGAGCCAGCGCGGACTCCGAACATTAAGCTATCGCGACCAACGCTGCGCAACGTAATGCAATCCATTGCAAGGCAATGCAATCCAATCCAGTGCAGAGCACTGCAAACCAATGCAAGACATCGCCATGCAGTATAAGCCAACACAGGACAATCCAAAGTCATGTAGAACATCATTGCTCAAGAACGCAGCTGGAAGTCAAAGCACCGCAGACGCAACGGGGCGGCAACGTGGCGCTCACGAGCCCAACATCTGGAAGAGGCGTTGAGTGCGAGGCGCCCACTGGGCCGCAAGATGGCGGCAACTGGGCTGCAGTGGAGCGCCCGCGAACCGGACATACGGAACGTGTGCCCGGCTCCTCAGGAGCACAGTAAGAACCCGTCGTTGCAAGCTCTGGCTCGGCAATGTGTCGGCTTGCTGGGGCAAGTGTCGCCATCGTGCCAACGCAGCATTCAGTAAGGATGCTTCCCGCAGCGCCCTGGAGGTCGTAAGCTGTGACACCTCTCGTCTCCATTTCTCGAGGGGGCTCTCGTGGGGCCTTCCTGGGCAGTTTTGGGACCGTCTTTGGTTTCCTGAGGGGCCGTCTTGGAGTCGTCTTCGGGGCTCTCTTTGGGCTTTCTTTGCACTCTTTGGCCGTCTTGGGTCGTCTGGGGTCCCTCTCCGCCGTCTGTGAGTCTCCTCGGGCTGTCTTGGCGGCCTCTTGGGACCCTCTTGAGCCATTTTGCAGCTCTCTTGAGCCGTCCTGGGCCCCCTCTTGGCCGTTTTGGGGGCCTCCTCGTAGGGCTGTTTTGGGTCGTCTGGGGGGCCTCTTTGGCCTTCATTGGGCTATTTGGTGTCTCGTTCTCTCCTCCCACGCACTCTTAGAACCATGAGCGAGATGACTTGGAAGCGCAAGCTGGTGAACAGCCCCATGGACATTCTCTAGATGCCTGGGCGATGTTGTCCTTCCTGGAGGGCTTCTTCGCCCACGTTTTGGTGCCTTGGGCGCTGATTGTGGTCCGCATCTTTGCAGTCACGATTGTCGGCTTCGTAGGATAAGCCTCCTCTGGGTACAACCTCGGGCGGAGCTTAGAGGTGACGCGTGCTTCAGCAACGAAGTTGGTGCCGATCCAGTGCTTCGCTTGAATCTGGACCCCTCCAGCTGGAAAGGAAAAAAGGCCCCTCTGCCGTCTCCGGGGGTTTTCGGGGGGACTGCTGCGGGCCTCGGGAGGCAGCGGTGAGCCACCGCCCTGGCGAGCCACCCTCGAGGAGGAAGAGGAGGAGGAGGACGAGGAGGAGGACGAGGAGGAGGAGGAGGAGGACGAGGAGGAGGAGGAGGAGGAGGAGGAGGATGAGGAGGAGGAGGAGGAGGAGGAGGAGGAGGAGGAGGATGGGGAGGAGGAGGAGGAGGAGGAGGAGGAGGAGGAGAATGAGGAGGAGGAATGGCGGCCTCGGCCGCATCCTCGGAGAGCTCTGCAGGGCCCCGAGGAGGCGGCGGGGCGCTCAGAGCGAGCCCTGGGGGGAGGGCGGGGGGACGGCATGCGGCACTGCGGTATAGTCGGGGCCCTGGAGAAGGAACCCTTTTCGTTGGGGAGGGGCTCCGCGTTCCTTAAGTGTTTCACAGCTTGCCTCAGGTTTTCCTTAGGTTTTCGACAGGAAATCGAAGGTTAACTTATGGAAAAAAGGGGCCTCGTTCCTTATTTAGGGTTCCTTAGGTCAAGGCCCCGACTGTACGGTACTACAGTGGGCCCGCAAAGCAGGGACGGGCCGCCATCCCAGGGGTGCCCTCACTGGGCCAGACCTTGTCGCACACTGCGGCGGGCGGACATTTCAGTCTTTCCTGCCAGTCGCTCGTTGTCCTCACAGGAAGGCTCAAGATTGCTTCAAGACGGACCCCGAAGGTCCAACGATCGCTCCGAGATCGCCCAAGATCGCTCCGACTGGTGACGGGGCGCCGTTCCGTCTCAGATGTGCAGATACAGACAGTCAACCCGCATGGTAAGGATGGACAACCTTCCCAAGGGTACCCTTGCATCCTCGCCTCCTCGGTCCATCCTTGGCCGCTCTCGTGGGCCGCGCCCCGCACTCCAGAAGCCTCGAGAGGGACGCCCGAGGCCCTTGCGGCCTCATCCGCGCATCCTTGCGATGCGGACCGACTCCACGCGATGTGACAGGCGGGGGGACCTCGGAGGTCTTGCAGAGGCCACGCCTCGGACACGCCCCAGGGGACACGGCCAGCGGCGCACGAGATCCCAGCGCAGAGGCGCCGATCGCCTGCTGGGGGGTGCGCTGCCGCGCGGTGCAGCGCGCGCCCGCACCTCGTGCCGTGCCTGCCGCGAGCGCTCTCGGTGCGCCTCCGTGGCCCCTGTGGCTCGAGTGGGTGGGCGCCTGGGGCGCGGCCCCGCCGCAGAGCCGCGGGGCCGATGCCGCCGCCTTCCTCCTCGTCGTCCTCCGCGTCCTCGTCCTCGTCCTCGTCCTCGTCGTCCTCCTCGGGGCCGGGAGCGCGGCCGCGGCCGAGGGCGGGGCCGGCGCCCGCGCCGAGCGCAGCGGGGCCGGTGCCGGACCTCGAGCGCGAGCGGGCGAGGAGGGAGCTCGTCGCGCTGGAGGACGAGGCGATCCTGGCGGTGCAGGCGGGCTTCCGCGGCATCCTGTCGCGGCAGCGCGTGAAGGACGAGCTCTGGCGCAGGTCGGGGGCGGCAGAGAGGGGGGTGATGACTAGGGGGGGGGGGATATCATGGCGGGGGCCATGACTTTGCCCCAGGGTTCATGGCGCCTCTTCTTGTTTCATTGCGTCCCTGGCTCCCCCGCTGGGCCGCCGGGCCGCGCACATGCCGCCAGTACGTCATGATCTGCACCCCCCCTCTTGGACACCCCCCTCTTGGCCGCTCCCGAGCAGGAAGGAGGACGAGGTGCTCGTGAGGGTGCAGGCGCGGCTCCGGGGCATCCTGTCGCAGGAGGAGGCGCAGCGCAGGCGGGAGGAGAGGGCGATCAGGATGGTGCAGGCCGTCCTCCGGGGCATCCTGTCGCGGCGGGACGTGGCGGAGCGAGCGCGCGAGGAGGACGTGATCAGATCCGTGCAGGCGCGCCTCCGCGGCATCCTCGCGCGCCGGGACGTGAGAGCGGCGCGCGAGCACAAGAGGGAGGAGAAGGTGATAGCACGGGTGCAGGCCCACTTTCGTCGGAGGTCGCGGGAGGCGGTGCCCGCCCAGGGTGCTCCCAGCGTCGGCATCCCCCCCCCCCCCCCCCTCGGGCCTCGCGCGGTGTGCTCCGTGGAGGCCGCCCAGGCCTCCCAAACCCGAGGAGAGCTGGGGCCACCTTGTCCGCAGGCCACCGGGAGGCGCCCGTGCAGTGGAGGCCCACGCCCAGAAACGCCCTGCTTGCCTCCAGGGTGCCCTGGGCTTCCTGGGTTTCGATGGTTCTGCGATGGGCAGCGTGACGTTCCCACACCAAGGATCGATGGACGTCCTGGGGTCTCAGGGTTGGGTTCCTTGGGGAAGGTTTCTTGTGGTTGGGCCCCTGCTGTACACCACCGCCGTCTTGGCCGAGGCCAGGATGGCGCTTACACACCATGCCGAGTCCCAGGACGGCCCGGCCAGGCATGGTTGTGGCGTGGATGTACCATCCGCGCACGTTCTGTGATGACCTCAACTCCTCCGATCAAGGCCCTCTTTCCGGCGACCGTCCCCTCGAAGTCGCACTCCGCACCCCGACCTCTCCGGCCCCCCCGGATACCTCAGGATCCCTGAGGATTCCAACAGGGCCCCAACAGGCTTCCAGTTGCAATCCAATAGGGTTCGCAAGTGTCCCAGTAGGATTCCAAGAAGATCCCAGCCAGATTCCAGTGGGACTCCAATGTGAAATCAAATCGGAGTCCAATGTGATTCCAATAAGGTCCCACTCGCATTCCATACTGTCTCCTGTCTGACCCCAATGATATTCTATTCCGATTGCAGTAGGGCTCGAATCGGATTTCAGGAGGATTCCAATCGGATTCCAAGCATATCCCAATCAGATTCCGATCGGATTCCAATCGAAATCCAATCGAACCACAATGAATCCCAATCGTCGTCGTCATTGTCGTCGTCGTCGCCGTCGTCGCCGTCGTCGTCGTCGTCGTCGTCGTCGTCGTCGTCGTCGTCGTCGTCGTCGTCGGCTCGATGGTATTCCTTCTTAGACCGAAAATTTGGATTTCTTCGATGAGGACGCATTGAGTGGTTCCCTTTCCGCTCCTCTTCCTCCCTCCGCTCCCCTCCCCCAGGAATCATGATCTATATTTATTGGGGTGGCTTGAAGATGCCGCTCGGCTTCCCCTCCCCCTCGTGAGTCATTGTCTTAATTCCTGTGCTGCTGCTGGCGAAAAGGGGATTCCGAATCGCAGATCGAGCTTCAGCCACGGGGCGTCGCGGCCCCCTCCGACAGCCTCGAGTCCACTTCCGTCGCGGGCAGCCACTACACTTCAGTCGTGCCTGTCCCTCTACAGGTTGGATATTCAAAAATAAGTATGCGTATTCTTTGAGTATTTTTAAAAGTATTGTCATTCAATGTTTCGCCCAAAGTCCCCCTGTAGACGGACAGGCCCGACCTAACACTACACGCGCCGAACGGGGGCTCCGATCGCTCGTCGGCAGGGCGCTGACGAGGCGAGGTTGTGCGACACCCGTCACGGGGCTCCTTTTGACTTCCCCGACTCGATTCGACTCGACCTCGATCGACTCGATTTCGATCGACTCGACTTCGACTCGCAGGACCCATTTCCATCGACTCGAGTCGACTCGATGTCGATCGACTCGATTTCGATTCGATTTCGACTCGCAGGGCTCATTTCGATTCCGATTCGGCTCGTCTTCGGATTCCGATCCGAACTCCATGGAGACTCCAGCTTCGCAACGGAGGCCTCATACACCATCCCTCCGATATTTTCCCACCGAGTCGGTTTCTCTCCTGACCCGGCTGCCGCTTCCCGCCTGCCCGATCCGCTTCGATCGCCGATCCGACCTGGCGATTCGATTCTGGGCTCTCCTGCCCGTCGGGGCGGGGGGGGTACGGTAGGTCTAAGTCGGGCCTGTCCCTCTACAGGAGGAACATTCAAAACTAGTAAAAAATAGCCAGGGAACGATTTTCTAGTCTTCTTGTCAATCTCGGTGTATTCGTTGTTTCTTCTTTCCCGCCCAAGATCCGCCTCTATGGGGACATGCCGGACCTAACGGTTTGTTTATGCGGCGACGGCGCGCCGGCGACGCCGGCGACGCCGGCGAAGGTGTTCAAGCTTGAACTCCGCATTTTCTAAAGCGACGCGGAAGCACCGAGGGGCAGGACAACGCCACAGGGCCCGAAGGGATTCAACCTTCGCAGGCCTGGAAGTTGACACCAACACCAATATCGGCGGTGTGCCTCCACAAAGGGAAGATTATTCCGATCTCGGTTATGGTGGTAATATTCTGGCTTCCAAGGTGGCCGAAATATTACCACCAACACCGAGATCTAGGTTGATCTTCCCCCCTGTGGAGGCCCCCTCCTGTGTTGGTGTGGGTGCTCATTTCCAGGCCTCCAATAATCTGGAAGGATCGGCTTTCAGCGCGCGCCGACGCCGCGCGACTCTGCTGTGAAGTCGGGCATGTCCCTCTACCGGGAGGACTGTTCGAGAACGGTTTGAACCAATAGTCTGGGGGCGATGCGTCGTGCTTTTTTCTTTGTTGCATGTGTTGGGTTTTTGTTTGCACTGTTTTTCTCCACTTTCTTCCGAAAGCCGCCCGTGGGAGGACATGCCCGACGTAACCCTGGCATCGCTTCGACGTGTGCATTTTTTCTCGGCGAGAACCATCGAGGACCACCCTCGACCAACGAGCAATAACAATAACCAACGTGTGCTTTTTTGTTTGCATCTGTTGGGTTTTTGGTTGCACTGTTTTTCTCCATTTTCTTCCGACAGCCGCCTGCAGTCGGGGCCCTGAAGAAGGAACCCTGTTCGTTGGGGAGGGGCTCCGTGTTCCTTGCTTGTTTCGCAGCTTGCCTCAGGTTTTCCTCAGGGTTTCGATACGAAATCGAAGTTCAACTTGTGGAAACAAATGGGGCCTCGTTCCTCATTTAGGGTTCCTTAGGTCAACGCCCCGCCTGTAGGAGGACATGCCCGACGTAACCCTGGCATCGCTTGGACGTGTGCATTTTTTCCTCGGCGAGAACCCTCGCGGACCACCCTCGACCCACGAGCAACAACAAACACACGCACGAAACCGACAACATGCACGGGAGGAGGAGGAGGAGGAGGCGGAGGAGGAGGCGGAGGAGGAGGAGGAGGAGGAGGAGGAGGAGGAGGAGGCGGAGGAGATGGACGTCCGAGCGACGGCGAGTAGCCCAATCGCCTCCGCGCTCTCCGCGCGGGGGCAGCTCCCGGGGCCCGGGCGGCGCGTGGGCGCGCCGGGGGAGGCGGCCGCGCTTCGCGCGCGGCTGGGACGGGGACGCCCCTCCGCCGCCCCCTGCCGTTCCCTGCGGGGCTCGAGCTGTCCTCGCTGTGCGCGGGGAGTCCTGTTGTGCATAATCCTCCCCTCTGCCTCCCCCCTCTGCCTCCCCCCCCTGCCTCCCCCCCTCTGCCTCCCCCTCCCCCGCCCCCCTCTCCTTCCCCCCCTCGCCTTCCCCGCTAGTCTTTGCCTCCCCCCCCTGCCTCCCCCCTCTGCCTCCCCCTCGCCTTCCCCCCCCTCGCCCCGCTGGTGCTCGCGGAGCTCCAGCGGTACCCTATGTTTGCGGGTATAATTCTTGTACCCATGATAGGGGTTCCAAGAAGGGCCTCGCCTTCCGGGATCGACGGAGTCGTCGTCTCTTCCGCCGGCGGAAGCCGGCGGAAGGGCGGCGGAAGGCGGCAGAAGTAGAACATGCGTCCACAATTGCTGAAAACGTTTTTTGGGACCCCATGTGTGCTGGATATTGATGGCGAGTTTCCCCCCTAGAGGCTCGATGGTAATTCCCCTTGTGTTCTTTGCGTTTGTCGTGTGCTCTGGTGCATCCTGGGGTAGGGTTGTCCTCGGTGATCTCCTCATGGTTTGGGGTGTTTGGGCCGGCGGAGGGTCCCATGCTCTGGAAGGATCTGTTCTTCTGTCCTTGTCCCGGTCTTGCCCGCGCCCGCTGTCGTAACCTCGCTCCGCTGACAATGCAGAGTCAGCAGAGCGATCGTACTGAAGACGGTGCTTTGTGCCGCAGCGGGCGGCACACGCCAGAGCGCAACGGTGTGTCGGGGGCCAGCGTGGCAGTTGCAGGGTGCTGGCAACCCACCCGCAGGGCGCCTGCAAGTGGGTCGCGGGTCCGCCCTCCTGCTCTGAGTCCGAGTAAGTCGCGGACGCACGTCGACCCTGAAAGCGGGAAAAACGCCCCCCGCTGGCTTCGTCCTGTTCAATCTGGAGTACAAGAAATAGAACTACAAAAAAGGTCCTGTTCAATCTGGCTCAATCCCGTTGCATCTGGCTCGATCCCCGGCCCACTCTGGCCCAACCGGACCAGATTCCTTTCAATGTGGCTCATTTGGCGGCGTTCGCAAGGGGGTAGGGGGAGGGGGGAAGGCTTCTGAGAAGGACGTTGCTTCTTAGAAGGCGCCGGCCCTACATCTACAGATAATGCCCGCGCCCTCTAAGAGGCAGGGGTGCTTCTAAGAAGCCTTCCCCCTCCACAATTACACAATATGAATACTCCTCTCCTCTCTCCCGAATTACCACAATGTGACTCGCCTCTCTCAGGTCCCTCTCCGTGTATGGTTTTTTACACAGGATTCCCAGGAACTGGGTTTTCGCTTGGGCATTTTTCAAAATGCTGTTCCCGCTGAGGCGCTGGCTTCATTTTCGGGCTTCCGCTCGTTCCGTTCCGAAACGTGCTCCCGCTGCAGCGTTGGCCTCATTTACACGCTTCCGCTCGTTCCGAGTCGTGCTCCCGCTGCAGCGCCGGGGTCATTATTTCCGGTGCCATGCCACCGTATGTTTTTCGGTCCTTCCAATCGCCCCAAAATGTAAAAAAATGCTCCCCGAAAAGCCATCGGAAGTGATTGTACATTCCGTGCCGATTCGTTGATTTTGTGGGCCGCGGAAGCCCCCCCCACTTCGGGGCGTCGCCACGCCATGCTATGTCGTGCTACGCATTGCTCTTCAACACCATTATGTGCCATGTGATGCTGTGCCACGCTGCGACATCCGACTGTGCGAATAGAGAGGAGATCTACGCCATG